ATATAGCACTTGGATTTTATTGTTTTTATCATACTGTATTGTTTCAGTTGCTTCTTCAGTTGTATATTCAAATGTCTGTCTAAAACAGATCTCTCATGAAAATGACTCAACGAGACTACCTGTATAAATAAAGGTTAAATAGATTTAAAATAAATTTCTGTATTGTAATATCCTGTGGCCTGTGTATAATTTTAAAATGTCAGGATCAAGTGTTTAAACTGCTTTATGTTTGTTCTTTTCTCTCTCATTACCATGTCACGTTAAACAGTGTCGTGAAAAATACACTTTATTTTAAAGTTCAAGTACAGAAAGAGTTAGACTCAGCTGTGGTTTGTGCAGTAATTGCCAATTAAAATAAACTGCAACAGAATAATGATTCTCATCATTTCAAATAAAAGAGGTCGACGGTTTTTCTGTGCTTCAAACTTAAGATTTTACATTGAACCTTAAAGCTAAGGGGTGCCGTTTGTAAAGTTACACAGTCAAAAATTAACAGCAATATTTTGGTTTATTTAGCCTTTCATAAGAAAAAAAAAAGTTTTTCAAAATCATTTTTTCACCATGTCATTCATACATTTATAAATGTCATAGCTCCAAACTAAATATTTAATTCACAAGCTAAATATTTAATTTCTAAGCTAAACATTTAATTCCTAAACTAAATATTTAATTTACTAACTACATATTTAGCTTGGACCCAAATATTTATTTTCCAAACTAAACATTTAATTTACAAAATAAACATTTAATTTTCTAACTAAATATTTAGCTTGGACCTAAATATTTATTTTCCAAACTAAACATTTAATTTCCAAAATAAATATTTAATTTGCTAACTAAATATTTAGCTCAGACCTAAATATTTAACTTGCTATAACTAAATATTTTGATTGCAAGTTAAACCCATGTGACCCATGTGATGTAACATTCGGGGCGGATGGGTTCGGCTTTTATTTTGATAGGCCACTTCTGCTTTTTGGCACAGAATTTAAATACTAACTAAATATTTAGCTCGGACCTAAATATTTAAGTCTGAGCAAAATATTTAGTTAGCAAATTAAACATTTAGTTTAGGAATTAAATGTTTAACTTAGAAATAAAACGTTTAGTTTGGCAATTAAATATTTAGCTTGGACAATAAATGTTTAGTTTGAAAATTAAATGTTTAGGTTTGAAAATAAATATTTAGCTTGGTAATTAAATATTTAATCTACACCTAAATATTTAGTTTACTAACTAAATATTTAACTTGCAAGTTAAGCATTTAGTTTGTCAATTAAATATTTAGTTTGAAACTATGACATTTATAAATGTATGAATAACATAGTGCAAATATGACTTTAAAAAAACAACTTTTTTTTTCTTATGAAAGGTTAAATAAACCAAAATATTGCTGTTAATTTTTGACAATGTAACTTTACAAACTTCACCTCATATAAAGCTTCTCTGCTGTGTGTCTAGAAATCTGGACATTAAAGTCCACAGACTCAGAATGATAATTTGGATATGTTAACAAGATAATGTTGAAGGAGTCCAACCTGGATCCACCCACTCCTCGAGAGGTTAAGCTCCTTAACCGAAACGGTGACTTGATGAGTTTTCTCTTTTCTCCATACTATGTATGCACAGAGAGGGAGTCGAATCGCTCATTTCTCTCACAGACAAGAGCGGCTTGTAAACAAATGTAACCGCAGGGTTTTGGAGTATGTTATCTGATTTTGATCTGATTTGTGATTGAATAATAAAACTCATATTGTAAAATTGAGGAACTGAATATAACTATGAGCACAGATTTTCATGGTTTGATTTCACTCTGGCATGCATCGCCTCACGATAACCAAATCTGATGACACACATACGTGTTTCAGCAGATTGAACTCCCTCCCGGTCGAGGCAGATGGCCGCCCATCCCGAGCCTGGTTCTGCTGGAGGTTTCGTCCTGATAAAAGGGAGTTGTTCCTTTCCACTGTCACCAGTGTGCTGCTCGGGATGGGAGATTGTGATAAAGTGGAGATTCAACACAATCTGCTGGCTCCCTTAGATAAATTACTGTTACTAATTATCAGTTTATAACGTGTCAGAGAATGTTTTCTCAAAGCTTATTGATGTTTTTATTACTATGGCTGAGAACAAGAAGTCCAAGACATAATCTTATCTCTGCCCATGAACCATATGTTTGTGTTAACGGAGAGCGCTGGGTGAGAAGGCTGCAGCTGGCTCCAAGGACACCGCTCTGTGAACTGATAAGGATATAAAAGCGAGCGGAGAACGCAGCTCGAGGCAGATTCTTGCAACTTATCTTCATGTGTGTACATTTAACGTTTATTTATGTCACCTGTCCTGAAAATCTGGCCTTGCAAGTAAAACGCTGGTTAAAAATCTCCTTCAGCGCGGTTCTTTTTGGGTAAACAACGTAAGCGAGAGGTTTTTTTTTCTCCTCTCCAACGTAATGCGATTACTTTTGTGCAGCGCTCTGAGATGACATTTGTTGTGAATTGGCACGATAAAAAAACTGAAATGAATTGAAACTTTATGGTTTTCTCAGCGCAGATAGTTTTGTTTTTGTTGCGGTTAGAGCCTTAGACTTTTAAAAGTTTGGCAGTGGGACTGCCTGCCAAATCCAGATTAGTTGGTTGTGCCAGTGCCACACCAGCGTTATAACACAAAAAACCAAGAAGCTTCTCCATCTTCTGTCCCTTCTGTTCCTCTTACCTCTGTGTCTGTTGCTGAGCTGGACGCCACTGAGCATCTCTCCTCTTTGTCCTGAGAGGTTAGATGAGTGTGTGACTCTGCAGCAGGATAATCTAATACTTGTCTGTGGTTGAATTTGAAGGTCAGGGGGAAGTTGACCCTGGGTACGGGAGAGGCGGAAGGTGTGGGCATGGGTGAAGGGCGTGGGGAGAGGGTTCCCATTTCAACAGCCAGGACCTCTGTGCAGGCCAGGCCCTGGCTGCGGAGGTAGTCATCTGTGTCTCTGTCCACCACCAGCAGCCTGGTGCGGTGGGACACCTCACAGATCCTGCTCACCACCTACACAGGAGACATGAGTCACAGTGAGGAACCAGTTGGCTCATATAATGCACTTTTGTGCTTTAACAAAGACAAACAGTGATTCCCTTCACACACACTGACCCACTTAGGGCCACCTCCTCCTCAGGAAAGAAGAAAAAAGTCGCCCAACAGGTCTTCAACTTATTGTACCTCATGGCTCTTATTATAAATGTGCCTTTGTTCCAAAAAATGTCATTTTCTGCAGCATCACCCACCTGAGGATGAGTTTCATTCTCCACATTCTCCCCGTTCACCTCCACCAGCCGGTCTCCGGGTCGGAGTCCGGCCAGGTCAGCCGAGGAGCCGGGCACCACCTTCCGGATGAACTGTCCGCCTTTATTCTTCTCTCCGTGCAGGTGAAAGCCATATCCGTGCTCTGTTCTCACCAGAAAACAGAGCCGGGGTCTGAGCTCCAGCTCCATCCCGTGAAGGCGAAAAGTCAAAGTGTCTCAGGTGAATGAACAGCTCGATTCGGTCCAATAATAAGTCGCTGGTTCTTAATCCAACGCGCGTCCGCTCGCTCCGAGGACAGAAACATCATCATCGTTTAGCATCGTGCAAATCCCCCAGTAGTCCACACAAACTCCGATGGGACAGCCCAAGCAGAGAAGAACAAATCTAAAGAGTGATTAATTGGTGAGGAGCGCGCAGAAAATGGTGCCGAGCGTGCGTAAAAATGCCGCGGACAGGAGCTTACGTCCCGTCCATCCGTAAAACCCAAAAGATCAGAGATTAGAAAGCTGTTTCGGGCACGTAAGACCTGATTCTCCACGTGACAGACAGAGAGGAGGCGTCAACAAGAAATGCCACTATCCTCCAGAGCGCGCGGCGACCGCAAAGTGACAGCCTGCACTGGAAAAAGTTTTGCACAGAGTTGTTCATTCAAGCTAAAAACTA